GCCATCTCATATAAATGTCAAATCTCAAAATATTTGGGGATCAAATTATACTAGAAAATGGAACCGATAAACGGAATGTAATGCCAAAATACAATAACTTGAAGGAAATGCAATGATGCTCTGATTTCCTTGGACTATATAAAATAGATATACATCGTACTAAATTTCACATTTTACTTATCCTAAAGAAAATCTAGGGAATTTGAATTGGAAAAACCACCAAGTTATCTATTGCCTTCTTACTAATATCCTGCAGATCACATCGCTTATATTCTGTGCTCTATATAATGCCATCGAACAAAAAACTTCTGGGCAGGACTATAATTCGTATCGACATTTGATGTATTCTTTACATATTTTAAGACATAGAGAAAGAGAATCCAGACCTGTTTGGTCACAGTAGAAGGAGAGTGAGTGAACAGGGAGGCTGGCTTAAAAGCATTTCTATAAAAGAAAAGGATCCTGAGGGAAAGAAATTACTTTTGACTCAAGCCAAGCAGTTAAGCAAATCCTCTGTTTTTAAGCAAATTTGATAAAGTGACAATTGGAAAGCCAATCCCTAAAAATATACCTTTAGGGATGACCACCAATTAATTTTATTCTTGCTGACATTTCCCATTGCCTTAGAAACTGCTTAGTGCACATCAGCACTGCTAAAATGGATTCCATGAGAATGGAAGATAAAGGTATTTATCTCCTAGCCCCACAAAGAAACAAAAATGCATTTCAGTGCTTTTTGGAAATATAATCATGGTATGCTGTTCCAAATAAACTAGTAAAAAAGGAGTTAATCCAGACTCTCCTAACCACTCAATTAACTTGAGAATTTTCAGATCTAAAAGATGTCAATTAAAGCCCATGGGTATTATGAAGCTAAAATGTTCTATGATGCCTAAAAAGGACCCATCAGATAGTTGCTAAAAAGAAAAAGAAAGCAGTTCTAATACTTTGCCATGGAAACAGCATCTCAAATTTCTTGATGTTGTTTTCTCTGAATTAGACAGATAGTCTGAGAAAAGAGAAATTACAAGTGTTACAATGGCTTTCATTCTTGGAGAATTTTTTTCCAAACACTAACCAGTTTAATGTTTGTGAAAAAGGTAGAATCTGCTCCCTGTATTCACAAATTCCATACCCACAAGTCAGAACAATAAGGAACCTATATTCAACATGCACAGACTTCTCCTTGTCATTATTCCCTAAACAACAGAATGTGTCAAGTATTTACATAACATTTGCATTGTATTAAGTATTATAATTAATGTAGAGATAATTGAAGTTAAACCAGGAAATGTGCATAGGTTATATGTAAATAGTACATCATTTTTCTATAAGAAACTTGAGCATCCTCAGACTTTTGCAGGATATTCTAGAACCAATCTCTCATCAGGAATGAGACTGTTTTCTATTGACAGAGGAAAATAAGTACAGGAATGAAATCATTTGCCTAAGCCCATAAAGTCATTCAGCAGTTTTTCCAAGGCATGAATAAAATATTACCAAGTAAAGAGCATTAGAATCCGACAGCCCTTCAGCATCTTAGGATAATGTTCAAGATGACACATTTAGGAGTTTTTCAATTAGCAACCCAGGCCCTGCTACACAGGGAGAGGGAGAGGGAGGAAGGAAAGAAGGGAGAAGGACAAAGGAAAGGAAGTGAAGGGAAAGAAAGGAAAAAAACACAGACACAGTAAAGGCCACAATCTGAGGGCAAAATAAACACTCCCCATGTCCCTCGTTGAACAGGAAACTAGGTCCGTGTGTAGGGAAGAACAGAGAGCCTGTAGGAGGTGAAATCCAAGGCAGCTGGAGAAGGGAGAAACTCTATATGCTCCAGTGTTTGAGCACAAGCTCTTACCTAATCACTGGTTGACCACTAAGCTGTGAATACATAGGAATAATCACCAGAAGTGAGCTTAAAAATACAAATAAGAACTTAATAGTAGGAAAAATCCACAGCCACACACTATAAGGAAGACACATTCTGCAAATAATCCCAGGAAAATCACTTTTTAAAAGCCTCAGAAAAAGAAAATCAGAATCCAGAGTTGCTACAACATATTAGCTAAAAATGCCCTTTTCAATAACTAAAAATTATGTTATACAAAGAAAAAGTATAGCAGAGTCAATATATAGAAATTAACACTGAATGAACCCAGATACTAAATTTGACAAAGGTTTGACCGTGGCCATTAGAAGTTACTTCAAAGAACTTACCTATATTTATACAATTAATGGCAAATATGATGACAATGACTCAACAAAGAACCACAGCAAAGAAACAGAAACCATAAAAGAAAACAAATGGAAATTCTGAAGTTGAAAACAGATCAATAGAAATTATCCAATCTGGAGAACAGAATGAAAGCAATGGAGAAGTAGGCCACAGTAGAAGAGAGTCTAGTCCCAGGAGCCAAAAGCACCAGCAGGCAAAACAAAAGTAATCTAAACCTGCACTGAACAATTTCTCAATTATAAGCCTTCATTTAAAAAATGAGGATAACAGTACATAGGCGACTACAGTTGAAATGGGGATAAAAAACTGAAGATTGTTGGATAAGAAATGTACTCATTATCTTGCCCATGTAATCGTAACTCCTCTGTACGGTATTCTCACAACAAAAAAAAAGAAAAAGAAAAAAAGAAATGTACTCATTACCTTACTCATGTAACTGTAACTCTGTACAGTATTTTCACAATAAAAAATTTATTTAAAAAACTGAAGATTCGGGGCTGGGAAGGTGGCTCAGTGGTAGAGCGCTTGCCTTGCATGCCTGAGACCCTGGGTTCGATTCCTCAGCACCACATAAGCAAAAAGAAAAAAAGCTGGAAGTGGGGCTGTGGCTCAAGTGGTAGAGCACTAGTCTTGAGCTGAAGAGCTGAGGGACAGTGCCCAGGCCCAGAGTTCAGGCCCCTCCACCGGACCCAAAAAAGAAAAAAAAAAAACCTGAAGATTCTAACGCCCTTTCTGGTACATTGTAAACACATAATAATTGTTAGCTGCTAGCATCATCATCATCAACGTCATCATCAGCATTGTAAGCATTATGCACACCTTTGGTCCTCAGCTCCACCCAGACCTGAGCCCCTCCAGCCTTGGAGTTCACGGCCACACAGCTGGCCCCTCCCTCTCTCCGCCCAGACCCACCTGAGCACCCACCTACCTCATTCCTGCCCACAGACCCTCCCGCTACTTGAATAGGGACAGGTGCCATGTGCTCCCTCTTGGGGGAAATATGGCTCCCCTAATAAACCTTGTAATAATCTTTCTCCTGTGCCTGCCTGTCTCCGCGTGGTCCCCCAGAATGGATGTGGTGGATTCTTTTATTAGTGGCCCATATGGGGAAATGGGTAGGGTCTTTAAGTTTAATGAGGACAGGAGTATGGTGTCTAGGCATAGTGGGTGTGGAAGTATCCCAGATAAGAGGGTTGACAAGATCTGGAGGGAGGGGGGAAAGGATCGAGTTGAGAGGTTACAGATGGAGGTTCATTTAGGGATAAAAGTAGAATAGGTGTTGGCTGTTTGGAGACATGGAATGAGAGGGAAATTTGAAATTTAGAGAGCAAGTCCCTCCCTAGGAGGAGGGGTAGGACAGTGGGGTAAGATTAAGAAGAGTGAAAAGGGAAAGTCTTTTATTTTACATAGTACTAGTCCTGTCGTTGAGGGACAGGGAGGTAGGCCATCCACACCCACCACTGAGATCTGGGACCAGTACCTTGCCTGAATCTTTTTCCTTGGCTGCTGATTTAATTTACCTAACAATCATTATCATCAATAAACAACATTTTGCTAGGGGAGGAAACTCATGGCTAGCAGGCACTGAACCTAAAAGTTTTTAAGGAAATTGTCCAACCTAATAGGAGCAGTTCCCATAAGCAGATGAGGAAAAAATAAGTCAAATTATAGTTGCTATTGGGTGAAAAATATTACTAGCAGGTTTTTTTATATGCATTACCTCAACAAATATCTTCTAATTGCTTCCCAATTATACAATTTTTTCTTCACGTCTATTCGTACTTATTTCTCAGATGTTTCTGATTTTTTAAAAAGATTCTTCAAAGAAAAAGAAGAAAGAAAGAAAGCCATCAAGAAAAAGGAGAAAGCAAATAATCAAGAAAGAAAAAGAACCCTTTTTGTCACTATATTTGATTCTACTGCCCTGAATCTTGTATATACATTTTCCTAATTTGGAGAGGGGAAGGGAAATAACAAAATATTAAAACAAGGATACAGGTTGACCCATTGTAACAATGAGACATAGAAGACACTATGTTGAAAATGAACTTTACAACTTTGGGTGGCAGGGGAGAAGCAAGGAGGAAGGTATTGGGAGGGGGCAAGGGATAATAGGAGAAATACAAAGGAGGGGGTAACAATGCTCAATAGGAAATGAATTCATTACCTTGCTCTTGTAACTGTAACTCCTCTGTACAATGTCTTTACAATAAAAAAAATTTTTTCAAAGAAAAAAAATTCTTCAAGTTTCCACATGAGTATGAAAATCTAGGAAATAGCTTTTTTTTTCTTTTGGTCAGTCATGGGGCTTGGACTCTGGGCCTGGGTGCTGTCCCTCTGCTCTTCAGCTCAAGGCTAGCGCTCTACCACTTGAACCACAGTACCACTTCTGGCTTTTTCTGCTTATGTTGTGCTGGGGAATTGAACCCAGGGCCTCATGCATGCGAGGCAAGCGCTCTACCACTGAGCCACCTTCCCAGCCCCAGAAAAATACCTTCTATATATGTATTCTTAAGTAGGTCTAGAACTAAGTTCAATGTTTTTACATCCTAATAAGCTTTCCTTTCTCCCTCATTCCAGGAATTACCTAGAGGATTTATATCACCCAATATCAGAAATAAAAACTGGCAAAACATGACAGAAATTTTGCTAAAATGAAATAATTGGTAAGTGAGCTGGTCTGACTTGAGAGATTTTACAAGGTTTAATCTAAAGAGAAGCCACCCCTGCATTTATGGATTTCACTCTTTTCTTTAATACTCACTCTGTTTTAGGAACAGCTTTTCTTAGCCAGAAGAAATCAGACTGTGCTAAATACTTTCGGGTTTGCAGGACGTTGCCAAAGTAGTCCGATTCTGAAAATTTGATCTAAATGAAAGAAACCACAACATCATTGTTCTAAGTGAAGATGAGAGATGTCCCTAAAAATAGACTTTAGCACATGAAGGAGCAACAGAAGAGAAGTTGTGGGCTTCTCCTCATCTCTGTCATGACTAGTTAAGGCAGGATGCACAAAGCCATGAAATTTAATCTCAGTGATTTCATTTTAACATAAAAAGCTCAAAAAATAATATAATCATATCTGGATCACAGTTTAAAAAAACAAGAGAAGTTGTAATCATTTACAATGCATTCCATTTACTTTATAATTGAAAAATCTACTTTAACCTTTACCAAACGTATTATTAGGTTTGAAATTTCTTGGCTCACAAGTTCTTGATCTTAGCTAAAATGTGTACTTTATTTATTTGTCACATAAGATTCTTCTAATAACATTCAGTTTAGCCATCTGAAACCACATTTAGCTTATAGATAATGATTTAGTCAAATGTTAAAATCCAATTTCCTGCAATCAGCATTTGTTCATAAAGGGGAAAAAAGTGAAAGCAATCCCGATACCTATTTTCCTCCCTAAGCACAATGGAGTCACCAGAATAATTTAATTACTAACAGAATTTATCTATTAACAGTCCAAAAAAGGCTCCGATTACTAAAAATGAATGAAATTATAAAGACAAATCATAGGTTATGGATTGCACGAGAATACAGAAAGTTGATGGCTCACAGTAATGTTGTATTCTACTAAGACAGAGAAGCACACATTTATTGTTGTGTTTCTTTCTCTTTTTCTTTATTAATGCTAGGGATCTAACCCAGTGCCTTGCAGGTGCTGGGCAGGGCCTCTACCACGGGGCTACAACCACAGCTCTTTTCTTTTTTCTTTTGTTTCTTTGGAGGGGAGGAGAAGAAGGGCAAATAGTTTCAATCATATCACATTGTGCCTACAAAACTACCTATATTTAACCTAGCAACTGTAAATAATATCTATGTAACAGTAAAAAAAAAAAAAAAAAGGATAGGTTTTAATGATTTCTAATGCTTTGGTTGCAAATAAAATAAATTTAAAAATAGAACCTACAAAAACAGAAAAGAATGTAAGCAAAAATAAAATAAAACATATATTACTATGCCAGCTAAAAAACACATTTGAGTAAGTGAATAACCCGAGTACTTAAGTGCTTATTACTTGTAATCTTAATGACTTTAAACCACAGTAACAGTAAAAATGAAAATTCTAGCTAATGCATGTATATGAAAACCACAAGCATTGGATTACAGATATGAATGTGTTCATACAGGTTGATATATACAATAAACAGGTGCTCTGTATTGGCTAATGTCAGATTACATAAATATCCTCCCTAACACAGAGTGTGGGTTTTGTGACTGGGAAGAATTTTTTTTTTGCCAGTCCTGGGGCTTGAACTCAGGGCCTGGGTTCTGTATCTGAGCTTCTTTTGCTCAAGGCTAGCACTCTACCACTAGAACCACAGCACCATGTCTGGCTTTTTCTGTTTATGTGGTACTGAGGATTCGAACCCAGGGCTTCATGCATGCTAGGCAAGAACTCTACCACTGAGCCACATTCCCAGCCCTGGGGAGAAATTTTTATGAATGAGTCATTTTAATAATCTTTCCAGAGCCAGGCCAAACTATAAAGGAAGGTGTAAAATAATTGGAGGTAAGTGGAGAAAGGTAGAAGGGAAGTTGTGGGCTGCTGATATTCTTGATGTTCTGCTTGGCCAACAAATTAGGAAAATATGATTCTACGTTGTTCCTTCATCAAACTCTTCAGGTAGGAGATGGCCTATTCTATGTGTGAACCTGAAATAATCTCAAAAACAAGGTGGATAAGGCAAGTTGTACATATGAGAGAATGAAAGTTTTAAAATATGGTAAATAATACTAGGTATAATTTCCAATAAGTATTTGTATACTTATGCAGAAAAAACATAAAGAAATACATACATTCAAGACAGTGTTCATATTCATGGAAGGAAATGGGCATGGGGGCAGAAGATTATATCAAGAAAGAGTACACACTAAATGTAAATGTTTGCACTTGTCAGGTGCAGTGCTGTACACCTGCCATTCTACCTACTCAGGCATCTGAGGCATAAGCCCTCAAGTTCAAGACTAGCTTCAGCAACACAGTGAAATCTCATCTCTAAGTAATAATAATATAAATTATGTGTACATGTTTAAATTTAATTAGGCAATATATTTTGATGATAGAGGTGTTCAAAATATTTTATATGCTGTTCCAATGTTAGAAATAGTTCGTAATAAATCTCATGATCAATTGTATTTTAGGTGGAAGTTTTCTCTTTATCCTCAGAAGAAATAGAGAACATATCCTGTTTTATTTCTTTTATTGTTTTGGGGGAGGGGTCCGGTTGTGGGGCCTGAACTCTGGGCCTAGACGTTGTCCTTCAGCTCTTCAGCTCAAGGCTAGCGCTCTACCACTTGAGCCACAGCGCTACTTCCGGCTTTTTTCTTTTTGCTTATGTGGTACTGAGGAATCGAACCCAGGGCCTCAGGCATGCAAGGCAAGCGCTCTACCACTAAGCCACCTTCCCAGCCCCCATATCCTGTTTTATGAAGGAAATCTAAATAGCAATCGATGTTGGGTTTTTTCGCTTTTTTTTTTTTTTTTGTCAGGTCGTGGGGCCTGAACTCTGGGCCTGGGTACTGTCCCTCTGCTCTTCAGCTCAAGTCTAGTGCTCTACCACTTGAGCCACAGTGCCACTTCCAGCTTTTTCTGCTTATGTGGTGCTAAGGAATTGAACCCAGCCTCATGCATGCAAGGCAAGCACTCTACCACTGAGCTACATTCCCAGCTCTCCATGCTGTTTTCATTCAGTCTTTGTTCCCAAAATAGTTCTGCTAGGACCTCCAAAATATGATTGTAACTGATAGAAAATTCAAATACATTCTTTGGTTCAAAACACTGTCTGGGAAATTCTCCCAAATAAATGTCCTTCAACTATATTAACTACATTTTGTAATGTCGATGGAATTAGTTTTAACTTTGAACAGTTTTCTAATTGTGATACTTTCTTGTTCTATTTAAAAAATAAAAATTTGGCATTAAGGCTGTGATCCGCGAACATTAAAGAGAAAACCATCTCAAAACTTCCCAAAGAAAAAAAGAATCTAGGAATAGTGTTATACATGTCTGTAATCCCAGCATTCAAAAGGCTAATGCAGAAAGATATCAAAAGTTGAGGATAGTCTTGGGAAACATAGAAAGACAGAAGCAGAGGAACTAGGATAGAAAGGAGGGGGAAAAAAGGAGGAAGAGAAAAAATAAGAGGAGGAAGAAGAAGAGGAGGAGGAGGAGGAGGAGGAGGAGGCAGAAGAAGAGAGAAAGAGGAAGAGTCTAAGTATAAATGATTCTATAGGGCTGGGAACATGGCTTAATGTTAGAGTGTTTGCCTAGCACGCATGAAGCCCTGGGTTCAATTCCTCAGTACCACATAAACAGAAAAAGCCAGATGTGGCGCTGTGGCTCAAGTGGTAGAGAGCTAGCCTTGAGCAAAAGAAGCTCAGGGACAGTGCCCAGGCCCTGAGTTCAAGCCCCAGGACTGGCAAAAAAAATTAATAATAAAAGATTCTATAAATAAACATTCTACCACACCCATGAAAATGATCATGAGGAGCAAAACTCAAAGTTAACCAGTTAAAATTTGCCACAGATTGTCTATTTAGAAGGATTTTATCTTGTTTTATTTATTTAATTGAGGATATTTGTTCTTAGATTTGTTTAATTGCTCTAGTCTACTAGTCTAATGGAAATTACTACAAGTAACGGGACACAAATCTTACAATTTCCCCAGAGATAGATTAAGTCTTTGGGAGTAGGGAGGGGCTGGTCACTGCTATTCTCTTCTGATAGATAGGAGCGGGGGGGGGGGGGGGGGGGGGGGGGGGGGGGGGGGGGGGGGCTAAAGAGATTATGGAGCTGGACACAGCCCTACAGTCCAAATCATTTGGCTCCTATTTCAGTGTAATTTGCATTGATCCTATGAGGAAGTCTGGTGATTCCATCGAATGAGAACAGAAGAGAAGAATCAGGAATGGCTTAGAATCAATGATCAAATCCTGATATGGCTTACTTAATGAAATACCATGCTGCCGTTAAAGGTAACTGAGGCTACAGAAGACAATGATAAAGCACTATGTTAGCTGTAAAGAACAGGATAAAACCCTATGCAACTATAAATTGCAGCTATAGAGAAATGGAGAAAAACAAAACACCATACTCTAATGAAAGTATGTAGCACCATGTTCACGTACCAATATTGCCATTATCATTTTGTTCCTTTTCTCTATTTCCCAAATTTTCTGCCATGTGATAATATTTTGATGCCCTCAAATAGTTCAAAAGGCCGTGGTATGAGAAGAAAACTTTAAGCCCAACAATTTGGGGAAAGTTCAGTTTGTTGTACAAACAAAAACCAAAATCAAGGGGCATGACTATTTTATAAAAACAGCTCCAATCTCCAAATACATTAAATTCTACATGGGACAATAATTAGCTCAAAAGCCTCTTGTCCTTTCTGTTACTGGAGAAAATCTAGGTCAAGTTGATAATTACTTTCAATCAATTCCATCTCTTGACCTTTCCATTGAGTGACCTTTGGGGAAACTAAGTGAGGGCTCTCGTGTCATTTCCTAGGAACTGCTTTCCATATTATACAATTCATGGGCATCAGGATTTCTCTTCTGAGAAATCGTCTCCTGGATGCCAAGCACCAAATGCCACAGAGTAAATGATGACCTGGTTATTAGTGTCTTTGCTCACAAAGGCAAGGAACACAGAATAAGAGCAGAACAAAAAGGTATGTGCAACTTCTCTGTGAAGAGATTCCATACGCTAGTAGAAATAGAGGTCCCAAGACACTTCTCTTTTTTTCTGAGAAAAGAGAGCTGTCATTTTCTTTTAACTACAAGGCACATTTGATTTCTGTCAACAGTTTATGTGGTTTATTTTATTTTATTTTCTTGTAAAGATGCTTCTTGGTTCACTTAAATGTGTTCAAAGATACCCAGAGATATATCCAAATACATGTTATGTTAAGCACCAAAGAAGTTTCAGAATGCTTTATGGAATCCAGATTTTATATCTATATATTCCCTTAAATAACAGAGCAAGCCAAAAGATGTATGAGTTGAAGTATGTGTTGGTGTGCATGTGTACAAACACATATATATTAGTGACATTCATAATGTTTAAACAATCCCCCCCCCCAAAAAAAAACCAATCCCCAGAGTTGGTATACCATGGAAAACGAATCTCTCACAAGCAGATATATAAGGGTGATTGACAACACCAAGCCAACACACCAGTACCAAAATCACACATCCTGTTTCCACGCTGGATGGTGGGGTCTCAGTGTGCTCTGACTAGTGAAGTATTCAACATGGTGGCAAGTGTGAGAGTTGAATAAGCCTGACTAGAAGGTTGGGGATTTCTGGGTACCCCATCGCCAGGGTCTACTCTTGGCTCCCCATTCCAGTCACTTAAGAGAACTGAAAAAATTATTCTAATATTTTAACAACTTCTTTTTCTGGAGTATTCCATCCAAACATCACACTATTAAACAGTGGCATTCTCTATTATATGCACACACACACACACACACACACACACACAGCACAGCACAAAAGATTCCATTGGCTACAGTAGACCAAGACCCAAGAGAATAGAATAGAATATGAACTCACATTATACCTACAGACTTTTATATGGATACCTAAATAAGTGAGTGTACCTGATTGGGTGGTTATTTACCTATAATCACTCAGCTATGTGCTTACTTTCTACTTTGTTCAATAACATTGAGAGCTAGGAATTGGAAAACTCCTGTTTCCCAGCTTCCTTTGACAACTGTCTTCCTGGCACTGAGGAAAATCAGCCAGTGCCAGGAGGGAAGGGATCAGGGTTACTACTCTCTTCCCCACCCCAAACTTTTTCTTCTGACAATGACTCTGGAAGAATCCTCAGCTCCTCCTCCATAGGCCAGCTCTAGAGTGTCATTTCTTCCTCTGCTCTCCTAAACAAAGCATCATCACCACATCTCTCTGTGTCTAGATGCCCAGGGAGAGTAGCTGCTGGCTGAAGTTATCCATCTCTGATTATTTCACCTACCCCTTTTTGCCTTCCAATCTATTTCCTATGTTAAATCCTCTGTTTGATATGCCTAATGTTTTTTACTCTCCTAGTTCATACATAATCTTTTCAGAATTGGTTTAAACTTGCTCTTGAGTCTGTTTCCATGAAGGATTGTTCTGTATAAGGCTAATTTATTTATTTTTCTTTATTAGCCCAGGCTGGTCTCGAACTCATGGTCTTCCTGCCTAAGTCCTCCTCATTAATTACCAGTGTGCATCATCAAGGCTGGCTAGAAAGCTAATTTAAAAACTGGCTAGTCTCTACCTTTTAAGGCTAACTGAGAGCTTTCCTTCATACTGAGGTGGGTTCAAATAAAAGGCTTTCCTTCCTTGCTCTTTTCCAAGTCTACATAAATGAGTTATTCAGAAATGCTTTGAACAGTATCTCAGTTTACCCTGATATACTCAGAGGGGAGAAAAATCTGTGATTCCTTTTCACTTTGGCCTCTCAATTGTCTTTCATTTGCTCCTATCTCCATAGGAACCAAACTCCAGCTTGCAACCTTTCTCCCTAACCTTCATCTGTCCAGCTCCTAATCTGTCTTCTCTTTCCTTTCTGTACTTGAACCTGACAAATCATATCCTTACACTAGGTCAAATGCAAGCTGCTTTTCATTATAATAGCCTCTCATGCTCAGAACTCTTACTACCAGAAATGTCCTATAGGCCCTATGGGCAGTCCTTATCTACATGGTTTTTAAAACTGAAAACATTGTCCCATTGTGTACAGATGATACTTTAATCCTTTTGCTATTAACCTTGGTGACATTGAGTCTATCACATCATCCTTTACCCTATTTTTGGGTTAGGATTTTTATTCATTGTCTTTATCAGTTTATAAACAAATGTCTTTTCACTTGGTGGATTTGGATTTTGCTCCATTGTGGTTTTTTTAAAACTGTTAGAAAGTCTTGGGTGTAATTGTGTCTGCTTTGGCAAGAGTCAAATGAAAGCTATTTCTTCACAGAAGTATTTAAAAATCTTGGTATCTCATGGCTGCAGTTCAGGCCCTGGAGAAATGAAGAAAACATATCCGACAGTACATCGCATTTGGCTCTGGTTTCTTTTCACAGAAGATAGTGCATTCAGTGAGGCCTTAAATCTGAGGCTCTCAAACTCGAACAGCAGCAGACTGCCAACAAAACTTGATCAACTAAACATTGTGAACAAGCCCCGAAAGCAACCTGATTGGATTAAATCTTGGGACTGTTCCATCTATAGAGCCTTTTAAATCAATTTAAGGGACCTGGATACTACATGAGTTAATTCATGATGACTTTCCCAAACCAAAATCATCTATCATGACTGCGAATTGAGGATGTCAGAGCTAACATTTGTATTGATGCTTATGTGCCAGAGCCAGCTCTAAGCACATTAAATATGTTACTTGATCCCCACAACAATCCTCTAAGGAAGGGATCTCCTCATTTATCAGAAACTGAGACACAGGGAGGATACACAATGTATCCAAGGTCCCACATGTAGTAAGTAGCAGCTGGGGGTTTCAGATCAAGTGTTCTGACTCCACGATGCATATTCATTACCACTGCCCCAAAGTGCCTCTCAAAAATTGTTCTTCCATATCCTGACTTGTAATATTTCCTAATCACATGTAATTATTCAGCTTGTCCTTCTTAAGTACTTTGTATGTTGGTGATCTTGACCTTAGAAGCAACAGTTCTCACAAAACTACCATTTATTCTCTTTTTTTGTATTTATTTACTTTTAACGTCTTTAAGTAGTTATGTGAAGGGGTTTCAATTCAACAAATCAGTTTATGAGTACAATTAGCCCCTACGTTGAGTGCTAGCCTTGAGCTTTTTTGCCCAAGGCTAGCACTCTACACCTTGACTTAAGACAAAGCTCCACTTCTTTTTTGTTTGTTTGTTTTTGGTAGTTAATTTGAGGTAAAGGTCTCACAGAGATTCTTGCCCAGGCTGGCTTCAAACTTAGATTCTCAGACCTCAGCCTCTTGAGTAGCTAAGATTAGAGGTGTGAGCCACCAGCACTGGCCCAGTACAATACATTTTGAACAATGTCATCCTTTCAAACTTATTTTCTATCTGAGCAACTGGATCACTATTTTCAGAGGCCATATCTTAGCATTCAGTACAGAAAGTTTTAAATATTTCCTCATATTTATATAATCTGTATGTATGTATGTGTGTGTGTGTGTGTGTATGCATGCATGTGCATGTGCACATGCATGTGAAATTCTGGTGCTTATCCACAAAGCTAGAACTGCTTGCAGATAGACTACTTCTCTAGCCACAATTTCAAGAAAGGGCTACATCTCCAAACCATAACTATTAAAATAATTTCAGAAGACTATGTTTTTAAAGAAAGTCCAGTGACTGGTCAAAAAAATATTGAGTTTTTCTATGAGGAAGAAAAATTCTTCTTCAGAACTATTTATAAGAAAGGAAATGGTAGTTGTAATTAGAAAGGCTTGTAATAAATATATCTCTTGTAAGATACATGCATCAAAATATTGGAATAAAAAAGAATTATTACTACTCCATTATTACTGTAAATATATAATCCAACTGAAAATAAATTAGAAGTCATAGGTATGTGGACTTAATTTGCCAAAATAGTCATAAAGTTTAATGAAGTTAACTCTCAGCAAGCAGATTTATTACTAATCACATAATTTGAATATGGAAAATAAAAAAGTATGTAACAACAAATATGAGGATCAGGATCCTAAATAACGATCAGAACATTATTATCAGAACTAACTGTAAGATAATCAATTTGGTTAATTCTTTCCTTTATGACCCATTAGGCCAAAGCCAATTCCATTCACTTTATAGTACCTACTCAACTATGCATTCTTTCTGCTACATCCTTTATTTTAAATCTGCCCTAAATCTTTGATATGTCTGGCATATTCAGGCTCATAGATAGCCAAGGAATTAATCAAAAGTTGGTACTTTCTGGCATCACCAGGTTTAATTGCTTGGACTTGGGTTAGTAAAAAGGCAAAAGGCCAGTAAAACTTGCCAAAAAATACCATAAATTTAGCACTTACTGCTTTGAGGTCTTCATTGACATGAGTATCATTCATTATAAACTCGGGATAGCCAACTTTTGCCAAAACAGCTCTTGCCTATAAAAAAGGAAAAAAGAAAAATGATGTCAGAGTATCCATACTTAAATCATTAATAATCACAAGAGAAAGGAATGCAATCTTCATCAGAATACTACCAATATTGAATTATTTACTGTAAATAGACCATTGTAAAGGACAGTGGGAAAAGATACCTTCTATCATCAATGTAATAAAATGGAATGAATGTAACAAATAACGAACATAAAAAAGTTTTAATAGAAACAGACAAAATTGTTATGAAGTCCACAATTCTTCTGAAGAAGAATTTTTCTTCCTCATAGAAAAAATTTCCTCAAGGAGAAAATGCAAGCCTTAGAGAATAGTTAGCATTTGAAAATGAGGAGAAAGAACATTGCAGAAAAGGCAAAATACAGAGAAGATAATTGTGAACCATATATCTGATAAAGAGTTAACCCAAAATGTATAATAAACTCAACTCAATATAAAGAATGCACAGTAACTTGATTTAAAAAATGTACAAAAGATCTAAAAACATTTCATAACAGGCAACATATATGTCAAGCAGGTTTATGAAAAACTGTCTCAACATCACTATCAGGAAATGCATATTAAAGTGACAATAAGCTATTACCATAGCCCTGCAACAATGGCTACTATATTTCTTTTAAAGAAAGAAAGAAAAGACATGTTGGTAATGATGCTGAATGAAAATTAATAGACAATGTAGAAAAAAGTATGGAAAGTCTCAAAAAATTAAAACTAGAACTACCATATGATCCAGCAACCCTATTCTTGAGTGTTTATCCAAAGGAAATGAAATTAGCTTGCTAAAGACTTCTATACCTCACGTTTATTTTAGCACAACTCACAATGGCCAAGGAATGCAAGCAATACAAGTGCCCACAGATGGCGCCTGGATCAAGGAAATGTAACACAATGGAATACTATTCAGCCTCTAAAAGGTAGGAATGCTGTCGTTTGCACACACGCGCACACACACACACACACACACACACAGCTAGAGAAACATTAGGCTAAGTGTCCATCAACTGTAAAGGATAATGAAAATGGAGAGAGAGAGAAGGAGAATGAGATGGAATAATATACAGTCATAAAAAAATCAAATCCCATCATTTGCAGATGTAGAATATGGCTGGAATTGGAGGACAGTAACCCAAAGCTTACCCTTAACATAACACCTAATTAAGTTAGGTGAAATAAACCAGATACAGAGAGAGAAGTGTCATAAGATCTCACTTATTTATGAAATCTTAAAAAAAAATCCAATGTAAAAATAGAAAGGAGAATGATGGCTAAAAGGGACTAAGAACTTGGGAGATATTTTTTAAATGATAAAAATTTCAGTTAGGGGGCTGGGAAGGTGGCTCAGTGGTAGAGCGCTTGCCTTGCATGCATGAGGCCCTGGGTTTGATTCCTCAGCACCACATAAGCAAAAAGAAAAAAGCCGGAAGTGGCACTGTGGCTCAAGTGGTAGAGTGCTAGCCTTGAGCTGAAGAGCTGAGGGACAGCACCCAGGCCCAGAGTTCAGGCCCCACGACTGGACCCAAAAAAAAAAAAAAAATTCAGTTAGGCAAGGGGAATAAGTTAAGATCTATTTACAATATGGTGGCCATAGCTAATAGCAGCATATTGTGTACTTGAAAGTTGCTAAGACAGTAAAATGTTCTTGCCCTCTCCCCAAATTATAAATATGTGAGGCAAGACATATGCTAATTAGCTGAACTTAACTATTCTACAATGTATACATATATCAGAATTTTCTGGTCTACATTGTAAATGCATAAAAACATTTTTATCATTTAAATAAATAGGAAAAAAGGATTTCAAGAAACACATAGATTACAGAGATTCCTAAAGGCTACATTCATGAATCTTTATTTTTATAATTTTTAACTGTCTTTTTTTGTCTTTTTTTTTCCTTTGGTACTGGGAATCGAACCCAGGACATTACACTTGCTAGGCAAGCACTTTGCCACTTAGCTACATCCCAGCCCGAACCTTTATTTTATGTTCTAACTAAGAAAGAGTTAAATAGCTTTAGCAGGAGAATAAAAGTAGATGAGTCATGCTTCAGGAGGATTATCTGTGCAGAATTTGTGAATGATGGCCAGGATGCTAGAAAGACTGGAACAAGGGGTCCTTTCTAATTTGAGATACATCATAACAGTACAACTGTCCTTTGGGTAGACAAAGGAACTAAATGTCCTGTGTTTTACAACACACAGGAAATGGATAAAGGAGGAAAAAAATTACCTTAGGTACACATAAGGAGTCTTTTAAGAAGAGATGGGCAAACTGTGGCTCCAGAACCAATCTAGCCCTCCTCCTAAGACTGCTTTTTGGTTTTTTTCCTACATAAAGCTGTATCAGAACATAGCCATACTTAATTATTTACTTATTGCCTATGGCTGGTTTTGTGCAACAGCTTCTGTGCTTCCTAAAGTCTCAACTATTTTTATCTGGGACTTGGTAGGAAATATTTGCCAGCCTTTGTTTCACACAAACTTTCAAGTGCATGTGAAAAAAAAATCTCTGTTCCCTCTTCAGATGCTAAGATTCATTAAAAGCAAAAGAACAGCTCTGGGATGGGTCAAAAGTGGGGAGGGGGGTAGTGAGAATGGTGAAGGGAGTAACAATGATGAAGATGCACTTTATTCACACACTGCTTTGTTCAATGGAACCTCCTTTGTACAACTATTTAAAGAACACCTCCCGCGGGTGTTGTGACTACCTGGTCAGATTTCTGCCCAGATCATCTAGGATGCCTCTTCTCACTTCTTTGCAGACTCCCACCCAGCAGGTCTTTCCTAATGGTCAGCATCTGAAAGCCTAGTCTACACACAACAACAACTGATTGGCCAGTTGCCAGTGGCTCACACCTGTCATCTTAGCTACTCAGGAGGCTGAGATCTGAGGACTGATGTTCAAAGCCAGCCCAGGTAGGAAAGTCCATGACACTCTTACCTCAAATTAATCACCACAAAACCAGAAGTGGATCTGTGGCTCAAAGTAGTAGGATGCTAGGCTTGAGCAAAAGAGCTCAGGGACTGTGGCCCAAGCCCGGAGTTCAAGTCCCACAACCAACAACAACTAAGAGTAACTGATTGGATGACCAATCCAATCTCTCCTTCCATACAAAGCAGCCCTTAGCTGATTACTAACTCTAGAAGGAAGGTTCAGTGTCTTTGCCTCAATTCAGGACTAGTTCAGAGCTATAAATTGTACTTCCAGATCTTCCCCTTCCCAAATAGGATCAGACAAGGACTGAGGTGTTCTGAACTCTCACCTTCCCTGGTCTCTTCCTTCTCTGGCTTAAGTCTCCTATTCCTTGGCTGGTTTCTCTTTGGAGTATTTGCTTGTATATGAATCCTAATCTCCATAATCAGCTTCTAGATGCTGGAGCCCAAGAGTCCAGATAAGCCCAGTCCCAAGCCCCACTGCAGAAATGCAAAACAATGACCTTTCAAAACTGCTCTTGGTAATAACTTTTCTCCTTGAGTCCTTTTCAATTTGCCTCATTCAAGCAATAAATAGAATAAGATGGTACATTTTCCTTATCTTCCTTCAGATAATTCTAATATTAAATATCAGCAGCAACCTGCAACTCAAAGCTCAGAACAAGTACTGTAAGACATGGTCATAATGGGTTTTGCTGTTCCAAAGACTCAAATCGAGCACAGATCAAATTTTGCCCTTAAAATCCTATGAGTTACACACACTAAAAGCCTGATGTGACCCAGATAACAGATAACTAGAGGTTATAATTCTCCCCCCTACATCAAACAATATGTCATAATGTATACAAACTACCTCCCCCTGAAAATGTTCTATTATTTCCCTTGTTGGATTTAATTTTTCACTTTATTTTAGCAACTCACCACAAGTCATATGCATAACTTTAGCACATAAAGAGTTTCAGATAGTTCTCCTCCCCAGAAAATAGTAGACAAGCTGAGTCAACCACAATTGTTTTCCCAACACTGGCCTTTCTGGAACTTGATGGTGAATTATGCATTGTTTGCCAAACCTCACACTCTGGGACCCCTGCTGTACTATGGATTCCCACAGAATATATTCTCTTCTGCATTAGATGTGAAGAACATGGAATCTTTTCTTCTAATTTACTCAGCATCACCATGACTTAAAGAGAATCAGAACAGAGATATAGAGAATCCCTATTTACTTCCTGAGGCTATATAGCGAAAATAAGGTAACAATACTAGAAGCAACATCATCAACATCTGTGCAAGGTATTTTATTTCCCCAATATGCATGGATGCCTTGATTCAAATTCGAAAGAGTTTGTTATCAATTCCGCATCATCTTAACCCATCCCAGTGTACATTTCCCCCAAAGAAGCTTGAGAATCAAATCTCTCAAAATCCCGTGGAGAATGTCCCAGGTCAGATTATTAATAAGTAGTACTCATTGGTCCCTGGAAAGGTGGAAAACATAAAGATGCCATGTATTTGTTGTCGAAGCCATAGGTAGGTACCTCAGGTATCTGCAAACAGTAGATAATGTTTTGCCAGCAACTTCTTGGCATTCTCCTGGTAAGACTCCGTTAGAGTAGAGGTAGAAAAGATCACTAGCAGCCTCTGTGTTTCACTTCCCAGACTTACAGTGGTTGCATAACCCTCAAATTCCCTGTATTGAACACCTTCCTGGTTGATATACTTTCAGGGACATGTATTTTTCTGTCTAAACCCCAAGCAAACAGCCATCATATCATCTTTAACCTTTTCATAAAGGGAGGAGTAAAGTGCCAATAGTCTAAGGACTTATTGAAGGGCAAAGTAGTAGTGAGGTAAGTCTGAAATCTATCTCCCCACTGGTTATATGGATAAGAAAGGAAAGCAAGTCCCCCTGCAAATACTGAAGACACAGTAGTAATGAATATTTAACAGATTGATATTATATCCTGTATTAAATACTTTCTAGGCTATTTGAGGCTGATCAAAACCTCAAGCGTTTTTTTAATAACCAGTGCATGCGTTTCCATCCCTGGTTCTCTG